GAAGATCAAAGTGGGAGATGTGAGCGGAGCTGCCGGGCTGCTGAAGGGCTTTGCGGCTCAGCGGGTGGTTGATGGGATTAGAGACTGCGGTAACTGGCTACTAATTCCTATTGAACCGGGCTTTTTATCCACTGGTTCTCTCCACCGCCGCCCCTCCGTCGTCCCCCCCCAAAACATCTTTTTTTTAGTGATTAGAAATTAACTTGTAGCCAGCGTCTGCAGGAAGGATTGTGTGAGAATACCGCAGACTAATTGAAAAGGGGTAGCTTGCGCCCTCGAACTGGGGTGTGTTCGGAGCGGAGGGAAATGGTATTTATTTGGGGAATTTCAGCTCCTCCTAATCTTGGCGTTGGCTTTTTGGCCCAGCGTGTACTTACGTTGCCTCCTTTCTGGCTTCCCACAGCCCGCCCAGGACTTTGGGACGTTTTTCTCTGCGGTGATTGATGACAAGGTGAGCTCCCCGCTCCTGTTTCCACTAGTGCGAGAAGGTAACACCACCGGGCTTTCGTTAGGTGTTAGGTTAAGTGGTTTTAATTGCTTACAGCAAAGTATGAACACCAGTGATTAGTTAGAGCTGATTATCAGCCCTCTTTTGCTCCCTCCTGGAGTATCGCATGCCTTAGCCACTGCCCCTCCTGAAAAGTGGGTTGTTTTGCTGAGAAGGGCTCTCAGAGGTAAGGCCCCCAGTGCCCAGGGCTGTATTTCCAGGTCCCACTCCTCCTTCTGAGCTGGAAGAGCACTAAGAGCAGCGTAGCCCTGAATGGGATCCCCCAAACCTCCTTTGAGACCCCCGACCCCACACTCTTTTTTTTATTATTTCCTTTTCTCAGTCTTTTGCACGGATAAAGAAATGGATCGAGCACGCCAAGAAGTCGTCCAACCTCACCATCCTGGCGGGAGGCGGCTGCGACGACAGCGTTGGGTACTTCATCGAGCCGTGCATCGTGGAGAGCAAAGACCCGCAGGATCCCATCATGAAAGAGGTGAGAGCAAAAGGGGCTGTAGGTCCCCTTCCCCAGACGCCTGCTGGGCACGTGGAGATGAGTTGACCGGTGCTGTATGGTTAAGTTGGTGGCAGGGACCTTCCTCTTCATCACGGTTTTAGCTAATCGGTTGCTGAAGCACCCACCGCCTGTTTTTGGAGGCCATCCTCACTGAGTGCTTTTTTATTATTATTTTGTTGGGGTTTTTTTATTGCTGTACAGGAAATTTTTGGCCCCGTCCTCACGGTGTACGTCTACCCGGAGAAGCGGTACAAGGAGGTGCTGGAGCTGATCGACACCACCACGCCCTACGGCCTCACGGGAGCGGTCTTCGCCCAGGAGAAGTGAGTGCCAAAATCCGCGCCCCAGACTCCGCATCCCGGGACTCCAGAGATGCTTTTGCCCTTCGGGGGTGAGGCATCTGTCTCGCGTCTCTCCAGAACCCTGGCGCTGCACGGTGAGGAGGACCGAAAGCATCTCCCGCAGAGCTTGTGTTGCTTTTAGCCCTCTTCCCACCGAGGAGGGAAGGGGAAGCCTCTGAAGTGGGTTCTCAGCCCAAAAATGCTTTTTCAGTGAGAAATTGTCCCAAAGGTTTGGAGCGTACGGGAGGATGCACCCCCAGCCCCCTCCTCCAGCAGGAGGAGGGCTAAGAGCAGCATAACCTCAAAGGGGTTCATTTTCATTTTATAACTGTAACTCTTTAAAAAGAGAAACAAACCAAAAGAAAACAAAATTGGGATAATTTAATTGAGTTCTAAGTATGCACGACCTGCTTCAGTGCGTGTTAAACAACGTGCAGCCCTGGAAATGCGTGCAAAGAAACGCCGACGCGCTTTTTGCACGATTTCAATTGCTATGGAAGAGCAGAGGCCTCCCCTCCGCACGCGCTTTTGCGGTTGCGTCGTGGTCACGGCCGTTCCCATCCCCTCCTTAGGAGAATCATCGACGAAGCCAGGACCCTTCTGCGCAACGCGGCCGGCAATTTCTACATCAACGATAAGTCGACGGGCGCCGTTGTGGCTCAGCAACCCTTCGGAGGCTCCCGCATCTCAGGTGAGACGAAAAAAATCTCCCGTCTGGAGATGGCCCTTACCTGCACGGCCGCATCCCCCTCTGGGGAAGTCTCCCGTCCTCCCGTCCCGTGGTCACCGGCGCTTTCTCTCCTTCTGAAACAGGCACCAACGACAAACCGGGTGGTCCCCACTACGTCCTGCGCTGGACCTCTCCCCAGGCCGTCAAAGAGACGCACGTGCCCCTGGGGGACTGGCGCTACGCCTACATGCAGTGATGCCTTCGCCCCAGCCCCGCACCGATACTACTGATCCTCAACGCACAGAGTGGCTTCGCAGCTACAACCTTAAAAAGCACTTAAATCTACTGATCTTTTAACCCGATGAGCTTAGGTTTTATTTTTTAGAGAAAAACTCTATTATTAAATTGTAAACTCAAAGTAATTAAAAAGTCCTCGTGGTTTTCTGAGTCACGTAAGCACGCTTAGTTACTTGTGGAAGGGGTGGCTGGCGGTGTGGTTGCAGACGCATACCTGGACCCCCCGGTTCGCTTCTCCTTCCATTTTGTCCATCCCGAGCGGTCCCGTGCGGTTCCCTCTCGAGGGGGCTGAGAGCGCTGGAATTAAAGCTGGGTTTAAAGCAGGAGCTGAGCATTAAGAGGCTGGCCCTGTCCCAGTCCCTTGTAAAAAAGCAGTGTCCTTCCCTCCTCTGCCCCCAAGACCTCCTTTGCCGCGGGCAGAGCGTCAGCTGCGCCAGCAGAGATCCCTGGAGGGTCAGGGCTGCCCGTGCCAGCCCTCCCGGGGGGTGTGGGAACCGGGCTTGTTTTAAACCAGAGACCAAGGTGGTGGGAGCCCGGAGCCGTACTTTTCTCCCTGTTCCTGAGCAAGCGCAAAGCCTCGCACAATCCCAAATGTTTTTTGATGTAGGAGGAGACCTTGGCAGAAGGTATATTGTGCTGGGAGAGGACAGCTGCGAGTGCACTGCTGCTTAGAAATAAGTTCGAGCGCCTTAATTTCGCCTTGCAGGGGGTCTCGGGGTGCGCTCGGCCGCGGGGCAGGTGAAGCAGCAACACCCCCCTCGGTTCCCTTCTTTCTTTACCGGCGGCGAGGTCAGGCTTCATCCGGAGCTTCCCATCGGATGCTGGCTGCTCCCACCGCTCCGATCCTTGCAGGTCCCCTGGAAGGAAGCGGAGAGATTTGAAGAGAAGGTGTTTCAATAACAGGAACGTTCCTGCACAAGCTGCTTAGGTGGATGTCGCATCCCTCACCGCCCCGAGAAGGAATTGCTCACCAGGGGGGTCCTGCAATGCAAAGGGGAAAAGGGATCTTAGCCACAAAGTCCTGCATCCTTCCAGGGGCATTCCTAATTTAGAAACGTATACATTTGTAACCCCGACAATGAATAGCTGTTCAGTTATCAGGATTTGCAGACAGAGTGGATGACCCTGTTAAGGCTGTTGCAGTAGCGTTAAGTACTGGTCTTGTCCATGCCTGGGCTGGTCTTGAGCGTGCTGGCCGTGAACGAGGTGCGTTAAGACCTGTTTAACTGGGAACTTGGCAATGAAATAAATTTCAAAAAAACCTTTCTGTTCTTTCTTATTTCTTCAACTTGTTGCCAAATCAAGCGCTACAGCGAGTGTGCGTTCGGTCCCTTTAGTGCACGCAACGCAGTAAGAACAGACGGGAACAATAAGGCACC